CCCGGTGGTAAAAATACCCCAAGGAGGCAGCCCACAGGCACCAAGGACACGCGGGAGCGCCTGGCTCCCCTCGTCACTGCCGGTGTTATTTGTGTGTCCCGATTGCTGCAAGGCTGCAAAAGCTGCTAATAAAAATTGAATTAAAAAAAAAAAAAGAGGGAGAAGAAAGAAAGTTGGCAGAGCATGACGAAGGCCCAGGAGGAGAGCTGAAGGACGGACAGAGGGATGGAAGGACAGGCAGATGTCAAGGGAGGGCAGAGGAAGGGCTGGATGCGCCCAAGCGGAGCTGGCGGAACAGAGCGGGGCGGGGAGGACGGTTTGGAGGCCAAGAAGTGCTTTAGATTGTCCCCTGTGCCGGGCTGTTTTGCAGCACATTTGCCTTTCACGTGCCCTGACTTTCTCCTTGCTTCTGCTCCATAGAGCGGGGCAAGGTGGCACCCACTCTCCTGCATGAGCCAGCACCTTCCCATTCCCATGGCCATGGGAAAACACTGCTCTGCCCTTTGACTTTTGGGCCACTGCTCACTGGCTGTCCCCTGCCTGGGACCAAAGGGCTGCAGCCATCACCCTGCATGGAGCATGTGGGCTGCATGGGGCTGCAAGGGTTGTATGTGGGCTGCAGGAGCTGCACATGACCTACAAGGGCTGCATGTGGGCTGCACACGATCGACAAGGCTCTGCATGTGCTCTGCAAGGGTTGCATGTGGGCTGCAAGGGTTGCACGTGGGCTGCGTTTGGTTTACGATGGTCTGCACGTGGTCTACAAGGGTTGCATTTTATCTGCAAGGGCTGTGTGTGGGTGGCAAGGGTTGCACGTGGTCTACAAGGGTTGCGTGTGGGCTGCGAGGGTCTGCACGTGGGCACATGAGCTTGGGTGCCACTGCCCTACGGGCACACGGTGCCGGGCCGGCTGTTGTTATCCGGGTGCGTCGCACTTCCCTGCTGCTGCTTCCCAGGGAGCAGCCCCAGCTGGGATGAGGGCTCTGGAGCCGGGCGAGCGGCACTGGCTGAAGCCCAGGGCCACGATGCTGGGGCAGGTCCTGCAGCTCTGGCCACCAAATGATGCTGTGGCTGAGAGGTGTCCCTGGTGCAGAAGGGGGTTTCTCTGTGTCCTCAATGATGGCTCAGCCTGATTCCTCCATCTCCATGAGGACACGGATTTGGGGGAGAGGGAGGAGTGGAAAAGGAGGAGAAGGAGAAGGAGAAGGGGAGAGGGAAGAAGGGAAGGAGAAAGGGAAGGGAAAGGAGAAGGGCAACGGGAAGAAGGAGAAGGGAGGGGAAGGAGAAGCAGGGGGGACCTGACCTCTCCTGCGAAGCCGCCAGCGTTCAGCTCAGCGCAGCCTGGCAGGGATCACCCGTCCCCGGGGCCCGCGTCTCTTTTC